TGTGTTGTTTACACTGAGTTGTGCGAGTGTTGAAACATACTGAAGATATAAGACTCCCATGCAGTCATTTTAATCTTTGATCTTTATTTTTTGTGATTACAAAATGATTTTGACAAATTTTCAGGCCTGGTTCATCCTGTATTGTAGAACTTGACTACTTTAAATACTTATAAGCATGCTGACAATTGATTATTAGTTTTGGTTATAAAGAAACAACTTCAATTTATGTTGGTATTTTATGTTAGGTTGGGCTACTTGTGAAAACTGGCCAAAAATGCATTTCCACAACCCTGGGCCAGATTGGTATACTGTAGACAATGTGTGGTCCCCCTAAATGTTTACTGAGGAAGTTCTTTAAATAAGCGCTTGAAGACAGGCACACTTTTATCTGTTTGAATAAAAAAAAAAGTTTGCAGGAGCACTAAAGAGGCTTCCTTTGTATGTTTGAATTATACACTTGTTAAACTTTATGCGGATACATTTCTAAAGGGTATGAGTAAGCAGTGGAGAGAGTGACAAAGAGAAAAGATGAGGTCGATGGGCCTTACTGAAGTCAGTAATGGAAGAGTAAACGATCTGATCTTTCATACGAGATCTTTTTTGACTAATTCTAGAGAGCGATCCCAAGGCCCTGTCACCCTGACACTGGCAGATCACATCGATGTCAAGAGCATATTTCATGTTCCAAAATGCCTGACGAATGGATCTTTCATAGGGTTGTCCATTTCGGCCACTTTCGGGGGTTGTGAATGCCCTCCTGCAGTGCCAGACCACCCATCTACTTTCCCTGGGACCTCATGTCCTGGACACTGGGTGCGTCCTGCTCACCTCACCCTTCCTGCGGTCCATCTGGGATCAGTTGGTTTGACCTCCAATGACTGACTCACTGACCTTTTTACAGTTTATTTTCACTCACCATACGTCCTTGGTGCTACCCAACAAGAGTGTTGCAGCTATGTAAAACCATGGTGCGGTTTGTCTTCACTGAAAAGCAAGCTGATTTTTAAATATAGGTTTATGTGTCATAGCATATGTCCTTCATATGGTTTTAGAAGATAACTTGATTTATTTTAAACACCATTGAGTCTGGAGTAATGTTCTATACATCTGAAGTAATGGGCTTCACGCTTCCTTAGGTGTCGAATGCTGGCCCAGACAAAATGGCATTCGTGAGAAAGAGTGAATGAACTACTGTGAGATTTGACATCTACAACCAAGCTTTGAATAACTGTGTGGGCCCTGGGGTGACTTTCCAACCACTGCTAAACATGAGAAGAGAGCCATTACTGCCTGTAATGTAGTATGTTTGTGATCAAGGGTCTAAGAACGACTCGAAAAGTGTGGTAAATTAATGGAGATTTGCTACCCAGTTTGTGATCCACTTTGTTAGGTGTTAGGTGACCTCCATCAACAATAAACTAAAGCTTTTGAACATGTGGAGGCGACTGTAAAAAAATATTGATGGTTTAACTTAAAAAAGTAAGTAACCTGGTTGCCTTAAAATTTTAAGTTGATTGAACTGGAAAAAGTGAGTTAATACAATGAAGTAGATTAATTTAACCATCACAAACTAAAAAAAAAAGTTATCTCAACTAAATAAATTATTATAAAGTTGATTTGACAAAAGAAAATATGTTGTGATAACAAATCTTGAAAATATTTTTATCAGGACCTGAGACTATTATATTTAATAAGAGGCTTTAAACACTAAAAAAGAGTATAAATCAGCCATAGTCAACAATCAATGCGTTTGATTTCTTAAATGCGGGCTTTTTAAATGCTTAATGACGCCACAACAACGTTCTGCACATGAATGAACCTCTAACCAAAGCTATTTTGAGCTTTTGTAGGCTAATTATGTATATTTACTCAAATAAAGTTAGCAGCAGTCCCCCCTTTTGGCTTCCACTATGCACAATGTGGACATTACAGATGTAGACACTCTTAAAATGGAAGCGATATTTTAACCAGTATTCATTCTAGTACCCACCATGGTAGACCACAGTGAAAATAACCGGCTCACAATTCCTGAATGACAGTCCTACCGCTGTCTAGAATTCTTTTTTCTTTACCTCAGAGAGTCGTCTCAAACGTACAATTTGAGCATTTTCGATTGTTTCTCATGTTTAAGTTCACTCCCCAGGTTGAGGGAATGTGTTCTGTGGGAGTTCTTTGTTGAACACAGAGCACAGGTTGTATGTTGAGAGAGACTGAACTCTCGGTCCGCTCTGGCCCTGAGCTTAGACAGAAAGAGCCCTTTATACTCCCTCAGGTTCTGTGTGTTTAGACTCTGATGGACAGAAGCTAGTGGCTGGATAGTGTGTGCCTGTGAAAAGTCTCCCCTTACGATTTCACTTAAGGTCAAATAAAAATGCTGAAGGGACTAGTCATATCTAAAAAAAAACTTCACATTAAAGGGATAGTTCACTCTAAAATGAAAATTGAGTCATCATTTACTCACCCTGTTGTTCTAATGTCATATACCCTTCTTTTATGGACCACAGTTTTTAAAAATGTCCCAATCGAGCTCCTCCATATTATGGACAGCCCTTTCTACCCATCATTTACACCCTTGGACAGTCCTGGAACTGAACTGAATTTACAATTGTGAAGCGTAGACTGAGCCAAGTCATCATTGAAGATAAAAATGCAAACTAAAAAGTTGCCTCTCAAATGATCTTGCTCAAAGCATGCATAACTACATCATTTTATACGACAGTAATATGAGAATCTGTTCTGCACACATCTTAACACATGTTCTTGGCAATGAGAAATATGTTTTATTTTTTAATTTATGTGATAACTTTGTGATTATCCACCGTGTTTACACCCACTGCACTCAATATAATAAGTAGCCTAAGAATGCCACATTTGTTATATCAAAGCCATGTAACTGTCAGAATGTGTTTTGACCTTTGATCTCTGGCAGAGTCCATCAACACAGTGAAAGATAAGTAAAAATAACTTTTTTTTGAAATGCACTTCATCATCATCAATTAATTAAAATATTCAGCCCTAAGGCATGCAACACTATTCATAAGCTGCAGACATTTGTGAAGGATACATATTGCAATATTTTGTATTGGTAAATCATTTTGTCACTAAATCTGACAATGCAATCATGATCACAGGCGTTACTGCATGCAAATAATCTTCGAATCTGAAGATCTACTGTGCATGTTTCTGCAGACAGTTCACTGAGTGTAGTTCCAACTTGCCCTGAGGTGATGACATAATGCTTTGTTGTATGATGAATTATCTCACTGATTTTGTATTAATTATTTTATTGATTTTGAATTAATGCAAAAAGCCACGGTCATTTGTCCTTTTTCTTTCATTCATTATTTAATCAATTCACAGAAGAGATTTGGCATGCTAACAAAAAGTTATTTCTGGCATGGATCACGAGCTGGCTGCGTGCCATTTGTTTGAGCCAGTCGTTCATTTTATTCATACAACATTTTAGAAGTGGAGCTAAACTAAATGATCATTATGTTTCATTCACAGGTTCATAAATTGTATAATGTTGAACAATTCCATTTCAGACTATGATACTCAGCCTTTACACTGCACTTTGAATCGGAACTAGAGACTATAGGTCATTTAACACAGCAATTTCTTGCAAACCAAAGAGATGGCAGTTTTTGTACTGAATGAATCATAGCCTACTACAAGAAGCCATCATTTTATTCATACTTTGATTTGTTTGTGTTTCACTCTGATTTTCATTCACTATCTTAACTCATTTCTTCACCTTTATGGGACAGAGTGTGGAGGAATGAAACTGGGAAAAGTGATGGCCTGTCAGTCAAACTTAGCCCCTCCCACACAACCTCCACATGCACTCTTGAAGAATAAAGGTCTGCAAAACATAAGTGTGTATTCATTTGATTATTTTCTTGTCTTTTATACTTTTTTCCTGCTAATAAGCCACACTGTAGGTTCACTTAAAATTGAATTCATAAATTTCATGCGTAGTTGAAAAAAAGTGAGTTATGTGTTCACTTTACTTATTTTTTTTCAGTACACTTTTTTTTTTACTTAAAAAAGCTTTAGTTTATTAACTTAACATTTTTAAGGCAACATGTTTTCTTACTTTTTTAAGTTAAGTCAACTGAACACTTTTTACAGTGAGACTTGACGAATTTCTCATGGATTTCATCAAAGGTTCTAAATAAACTTGATGTAATATTAACACAATAATAATGTTCTAATTAACAGTTGAACGAAGGTATGTTAAATCCATTATGTTAGTTCTATTCAAAATAAATGGACTCATAAATCATAAAACAGCTCTCTTGAATACTTGATTCGACTTAATTTAAGGTGCACGACGTAGTTACATGTTACTACATGTACTTACTATAGTAATAATAGTAAATTATGCATTATTACAAATATCCTAAACCAGACCCTAACCCCAACCATAACATAGTGTAGTTAGTTGTAACTCCATCACAATGTAACTTCATCACCTTAAAATAAAGGGTAAAACTGTCATTGTTATTATAGTAATAATTATACAGTATGCAACTAACCCTATTCTTAACCCTTAATAAGTACATGTAGTTAATTAATATTACTCAGTAGTTAATTACAGCAACAGAGATCTTAAAAAAGTGTAATCCTTGATTCTGACTGGTCATTCCCTGTACTAGTCAAATATTTTTGACCTAGGCGACGCTGTATTTATATGCAAATATGCCTAATCCGAAAACGTACAAATATTGAAGAAATATGGAATTGCTTGCTCTCTCTCTCTCTCTCCCTCCCTCTCTCTCTCTCTCTCTCTCTCTCTCTCTCTCTCTCATTCCCAGGCTACTCCATGGATTTTTTTTTTTTTTACCGGCTTTCGCGGGGGACGCGCAAGAGGGCGACCAGGGGAGGCTTTGGAAAACTGATGGGTGGATCCCAAGCCAACTTTCAAGCCCCGTGATTTGCTAATCGGGGTATTTTTCCCTTGTCATTTTCCTGTAATCCAGGGTCTGGGTCCAGCCCTCTTGACGGTGAGGCGATCGAGCGCTCAGCGTCTCATTTTGATTAAAGCCCGATTCCCTTCAGTCTGAAGGCTGGGCGCATGGAAAGGAGGATCTAAGGGGGCCCGGCGAAACAAAATACCCCTCACCTATGGCTGTTTAGAGCAGATCGGGTACATTTTGGGATTGTAGAAGGGAGATCATTTTCAAATAAGCAGAGGTCGCCCCGGGTTTTGTACACATTTGTGGGCGCCCCAACCATGGAGAGGCCAAGGTGGTCCCCAATGTGGAAAACGAAAAGGTGGCTTTTGGATTCCACTGTTTTCAAATTCATCACAGTTTCACTCGTCCTGGTTCTGCAGGCTCCAAATGTCAGAGCAGGTAAGGAAAGATAGACTTCCAAACTTTTGATAAAGTTGTAGGGACTGTCAGATAGGAGATGCGCATTTGCGCCCGCGGATTTTAACGCGTTTGATTTAGACAGGTGATCGTAGATATGTGTGTTACAAGATAGAATAGGCTACCAGTGCACATGAAATCAAAAGACATTGTAATCATGAAATGAAGAAGACTGTGTATTCTTTGGAATTCGTTAAAATAAAGCCACCAGTTCATGATTTCACAAGCGTTTAATACAATTAATAATGCAATTTCATGGGCATATTATATAACACATACGGTTCATAATGCTTTACTTTACATTATATGCATAGCATGATTGAATAGTGAAAATAATTTTAAACACAGAAAGGGTCTGAGTCTGTAATTTCAAATAGTTAGTCGCCTAGTGAAAGTATGTAACCTTTTGCGCATGACTTCTGCCCTTCAATTTGCATGCGATTTTATTTCATGTCTATATATTTTATGTTATATTACACTTAATGAGAGGGTGAAGAGGAGGAATGTGTCAAGAAAGTGTCACGGAGAGACAGTTTAGGATTTACTTTGAGGCAGAAAAAGCTCTTTGTTTGAACCTGTGGTCCGTTAGGTGTGTGTGGACACGGTTAGCAGGGTGTAATTCCTAAGGGTTTTACATCAATGCCTTACATTTAAGAAAAGAAAATGGAAAAGTATCTTCTTGAATGGTCTGATTGTGAGGATGAAGTTGTGTGCCAAATTAAGGGCATTCAATGAGAGGCGAATTAATAGGAGATTACCTGTAATTGATATAGGCTACTAATTTATGCTCATAAGACTTCATTGAGAACAAGTGTTCTGGCAGCATTGACATGTTTTTGTGTGTGTTATGAACTATCTTAAAATCTTTAACTATGATAAGAATATGATTTATAGTAACTGAAACCTGGGAGGTCCAATTTACAATGGGCGTGACTGATAATAAGAACTGCAACAAGGGATTTTTCTCTTTTCAGTTACAGAAATATAGAAATGTGAATAATGCACTTGTAATATAAATATATAAGTGTACATGTCACAGAGACAAAAAGTAGTCTTGTCCGCTTTACACTGTTCATTCGAGATTGCTGCGGGGTAATGAACTAGCGTTGAGGTTGAGCCCATGTGGTCTATAGCCAAAATCACCCGTTGCCCATTCACCTCTATCTCCACCGAAGCCCAAGTGGTGGCTTTCTAGGTCCACACGATGAGTTTCCCAGTGGGAATGTTTCTCTACTAAGTGCCTTCCCGTTATTTGATGACTGTCCTCTCTGTCCATCCCTATTATTTTGGAGGCTTCAAAGGGCCCAGAGCCATCCAGGGGCCCCAGTCTGTCCTTATGATAGGTCTCACCGACCCTTACAGGAACAAAGTTCCTTGCAAAATTAAATTAGGCATTTATTTAGTTTGAAAATGGCAAAGACAATGGATTGTTGCTGTTCTCTTATTTGCCACTTTTCTTAATGCTGCTTGAAAATAACCAGATTTATTTGTTCTGAAGTGTCAGCGATACGGCACGCTTAACCTGTGATAACTGATAATGGATCTTGTAATGTATTAATCCAATTGGACTTCTGAAGCAATGCATTATATCCTTTGCGGTTTGTGGCTTGTGAAGGCATTTCTACCGGGTGCCCTCTTGAGCTGGCAGTGTACTGACATGTTTTCTCAGCCCCTGGGGCTGAGGAACCTCAGATGTGCATTCCTTCAAACAATGCACACATTTCAGAAATCTTTCCATACTCTTATAGTAGATGGTGCTGACTAGTATCCATTTGGGCTATTCACGAGTCATGCATTTGCGAGTTCACTCAACGCATGTTGGTTGTGGCTCAGTCCATTTTTGAAGTAAAAGTAACATTATGACGTTACATAATTCTCTCTGTTGCATCTTAAATGTACACTCTTAAAAACAGATGCCATAGAAGAAACATTTGGGGTTTCCCAAAGAATGTTTCAGTAAAGAACTTCATAATCTAAAGAACATTCTTCCACTATAAAGCGCAATGGAAATGTTCCACGTATTCCAGGTTCTACATGCATCTACAATGTTTAATGTTCAGACAAAATAAACAATCCGTCATCATTTGCTCACCCTCAGGTCGTTCCAAACCTGTATGACTTTCTTTGTTTCACAAAGGAGATATTAATGTTGTAGACGAAACACATTGCTGTACCTGTTCCCCATCTGTTTCACACTAGAACGAATGTGTTTGGAATGACATGAGAGAGTAAATGATGACACATTTAAAATTTTTAGCTGAACTGTCCCTGGAATATTAGGAGAACTGAACAGTGTTCTTGAGAAGCAGATGGCTGAAAGGCTTTATTGTTCTTTGATGTTTCTCCACAGTCGTGAGGGAAACGTTTTTTTTTTTTTTTTTTGCAAAAAATTCCGTCAGTGAGGTTGCCTCACGGAGAGCCTGTGGCATAATGCTTTCTTGTTCAATCGGCACGCATGTGTCAAAGAGGGGAGAGCGAGGGGAGAAGGGGGAGATAGAGGATGAAAAAGAGAGAGAGATTCTGACTGAATTCATTATTAGAGTCTCAAGGAGCAGCAGGTAAAAAGGTCTTCCCTTAATATCGCCTAAAAAACGAAATTCTAAAAATGTATTACATTGCATTCCCTTGACCAAATGAGAGCTCATCCTTTGGAACATTTGTTATTTTAGCGCTACATTTGTGTCTTCCTGTTACCATAAAAGGGAATTTCATTACTAAATGATTTATGCAAATGACAGAAGCCCCTCCCACTTTGTGGTGTCCCTTGGAATAGTAATGATGGCAGGTTTATGATCTTAATGTGCAACTCTCTCTCAGTTAGTACCTCCCTCCACATTCACTCTCGATGTCGAATCAACCTTCTCTCCCACACACACAAGCCCGCCTAATGCAAAGAATGAATGAAAGTGAAACAGCGTGTGTGTTTGCACAGCAGCCTGGTTGAAATCGCACCAGGTCATCAGTTGCGCTCTCCTAATGGCAGCACATTCTCAGTTGGTATTCTGAAGTATTTAGGAGTATTGACATTTTTCTTTGGCACTTGAATGGCAAAAGGTCAGACTCGAGCGACAGCACCACATCTGGATTATATGAGGCCTGAGGTTATGGATATTCCCTCATTGTATTAGATAAGTAGTTGAATTTGAGGTTTTCCCTTTGTATGTTCAGCATAAAGTCTCTCAGATCGTGGGGGATCATTGCACTACTCACAAAGACTTTTAAATGGGGTGGTAAATGTTCTCTCAGCACTGGGAATGCCTCAGCGTCTTTATTATGGTGGTTTAGACCTCCCAGTCCATCCTTTTGTGATGTAGCATGCCTTTATTGTTGGCGGTTTGAGCTTTCAGTTTTATGTGGTAGATGCCAAAGATTCACTCAAGTCCCAGAAGACACTATGTTGGTAGATTCTTAAAAAACACCCAGATGCCAAAACATGTGCCCCTACATTCCCAATTAATCATGAAGACATGCCTCTCAATGGTGCTTTAAGGTTTTGAGTTCTTCCTCTCAGTGAAGTTTCAGGGTGATCCGGGGTGAACAGTGTTTATCTTTCATCTTGCTTCGTTAACCATAATGAAACCGTTGGTTCAAGTTTACTTAACCCAGCTGTTGCTGAAGTGTCTCCCAAAAGAGTTGAAGGTGGTATCGGGAATTTCACAAGGGTCAAATCTCATAGGAATGAAGACTAATTATTTGAGTTTTGATCATATAGCCACGTAAAACAGACCGAATTTCAGATATGTCCTCTTTTTTTGTGGTTGTGGGTCATAAAATAATGTTTAGAGATCATTTTGATGCATCGTTGGGTTAGTTTAGTTCATTTGACAGCTTTAATTAAACCACGCATGTGTAATATGACTAACCATTTATACAGTAAATATTATAGATACAAAAGTATTAAAATACATAGCTGTTTTAGATGATTTATATAGATTTGCACTTTATATTATATCATAATTACAGTATACATATTTTAAAAATGGAATAAAATTGTATAAATAAATATGTAGATTTTCCACTGTTGAGTCTTGAAGTTTAAAGGGATACTCCACTTTTTTTGGAAATAGGCTCATTTTACAACTCCCCCAGAGTTAAACAGTTGAGTTACCGTTTTCGAATCCATTCAGACGATTTTCTGATATTTAGAACAATATCAGTAACCAGACAGTTTCTGGTCTCATTGACTTCCATAGTAGAAAAACAATATACTATGGAAGTCAGTGAGACCAGAAACTGTCTGTTTACTGATATTCTTCTAAATATCAGAAAATCGACTGAATACATTCGAAAACGGTAAAACCCGACTGTTTAACTCTGGGGGAGTGGTAAAATGAGCCTATTTCCCAAAAAAAAAAAGTGGAGTATCCCTTTAAGTTAAAAACACATTTCTAGGCACATGTGTAAAAGGCCAAAAAATGTTCTCCTAATCTGAAAAACAGTTTCAATCTCTCTAAACCCATCTGGCCAAGTCTGTTGTGATTGGTCTAGCACTTACAGTGTGTGTTGGAAACAAACGGCCATTACCATATTTGAATTTCCGATCCAGAGGCTTCCTCAGCGCTTTTATACACAGTGATACAAACAGTAATGATGGTGTTGGTTATTCTGTATTTTTCCATCTTTTTGACTTGTCGACAACATGAACCAATAACCTATTCCAGGCCTCACCTACAACTACAATGTTTGGGGGCGGGTCGTTCGCTGGCAGCCAATGAAGACCATTATGTGGCATTATGCAAATTTGTTACATTGTTATGTATATAACAGAAAGTGAGTCTGAAATTTTGAACGACTCGTTTCGGCAGTTTAGAATCTAGCCTTTTTTTAGGAGACAATGACATCATTTGTCGTGGACTTTGATCTTTAAAATTTGCAGACCTTTTACATTCACAAACAGCTATATTATACACTGCATGAAAGGTAATATTTGAAAAAGGCACAAAAAAGTATTGCAAAAAACGTTTGTCTGCTTAACTATGAATATTTCTAATGCATTCTCCTTCTTTATTCATTTATTCATGAATCTTTTTTTGTGTATCTTCTCAACCCCATGCAGCAGAACCTGTGGATGTCCTTAAAGTATTAGAATTTCCCACTGTCCCAGAAGGAGTACAGAAAACTTTAGGATTTTGCACAAACAGAAGAGCATCACAGCCCGACACGGCCTACAAAATAGTCAAGAATGCCCAGATCAGTGCCCCAACCAAGCAGCTTTTCCCAGGTAAGCCGAACCCCATGAACATGTCTCCATGTCCTGCCTACGTTTAGCTGCGTTTAAATGTGCCCTTTGTTGCGGTTGCCAAGGCTTTTGACATGAGATGCCATCTCTGATTGTGCAGGGCCATGTTTCACTCAGACGCTTGTATTGTTAAGCGGCAGGAGAACTTGGCTAAAATCTCTTGACCACAGCATGGCTCGTCTCGTCTGCTTAGTTGCATAAGAAATGAACAGAAACATTTAAAGAGATAGTTCACCCAAAAATGACATTGTCTTTCCACGTCTTTCCATGAAACAAAACAAAAAAGAAGATTTTTTGCACAATGTCCAAGCTGCTCTTTTAACCAGGCAATCCCACCCAAGAAAAGCCCACCACATACAACTTGCATTCAGTAATACATTCGAGATGCATTATGTAATTGGATTGTGATCATAATTTTGCAGATGTTTCTTTATATGGTGGAAAACAGATTCATGTTTATTACTTGTTATTATTTCTTCATCCCAATGCCATATGTCTGGTGTTTATTATCAAGTCTCTTGCATTTCCCCTTTTAAGCTAGATGGATTACGACTGATATAAAGTGTTTAAAATGTCAAATCTTATTCCAATGCTTTTCTCATTCATGGCCTTTTTAGTTAAACAATGTAAATGCACTAATATAACCTTATAAAATAATTAAAGCATGAATAAAACTGCACTATGAAAGCCAGAACATGCTTTATGGAGGATAAAAAATCAAATTTATCAATTTAAATGTAATTAATATATATATAGGTCAATAAATAAATCAGCTGTCAAGTTGAAAAATAAATAGCCAGATTTAATTCAAAACAATTATATAGACATCTTTTTTATATTTAAAATGTTAATTAAATGTCACAATAAAATAAAATAAAAACACATGCAACTTTTAATCGCGAGCCAATCTGTTTTAGCCAAATTCATTTGAAATGAATAAATCAATTGATTCATTTACTTTTATTTTTAATTGGCATTCCTATAGTCCTCTATAATGCTTGCAAATTCAACAATTAGCTGTTTGGATAATGGACCTCAAAAACTCAATGAACTCTTCAGCGAACTTGTTTCCTGTTTGTGCTGTGTTCTAGATGGAGTGTTCCCTGAAGACTTTTCCATCCTAACCACCATCAAGCCCAAAGCTGGGATCCAGTCCTTCCTTTTGTCCATCTACAACGAGAAAGGCGTCCAACAACTAGGCGTCGAGGTGGGCCGCTCACCTGTCTTCCTGTACGAGGATCAGACAGGCAAGCCTGCCCCGGAGGATTACCCCCTGTTCCGCTCTCTCAACCTGGCCGATGGAAAGTAAGTCACAGACCACAAAGCCGAATGTACAGGGGCTTTTTTTAGACCCATTTAGATCCATCCTCAAAGAGAAAGACTGACTCCAGACAGGGTCAGACAGAGGTCAGTCATCAGCCTGTACCAGCATGAAGTCATTTGTTACCAGCCTAGACTTTTACACTGTGGCCCTGATCCATTACATATGTATATGAAGACATTTCTGGGACTGTTTTAGAGACTTTTCAGTTGAAAAGCAGACAAATCAGAATTACAGGTGACTACTGAGGCGTTAGTTATGTGTGATTTCTTCTGCGAGTCAAGCCAGAGGAGATCTCGCTGTGAGTCTGGATTGATGGAGTGAAGCGGACAGGGCCGCGGGTGATCTGACCTCCAGGGTTCTGTTATTTTAGAAAGATGGAAAGTCGGATCCGTCGGGGCTGAAGCTTGACCTCAGAAATGAACCTCCTTGGTTACATCATCAGGAAGCTCTTACCAACATGAACAGAGATTTTTGGAAGCTTGTAATTGTGAGATAAAGTTTAAAATAAGACAAAAAGCACATTGTGTGGTATATTAGTTGCAGTTGCAAGAAGTCACAATTAAAGGGATAGTTCACTTTGAAATTAATTTTTGATATGTTTTAGCTTACCTCAAGGGCATCCAAGATGTAGCTGTCTTTGTTTCCACAGTATTTTCAATTTGGATATTTTTAGGTCAAACCGTTCTTGTCTGTCAGTCAAAGAGCATGCACAGAGAAGTCCAAATTAAACATGATTTGTAAGTACACATTGATGGCCTAAATAGTCACAGTTATGAGATAAAAAGTCACATTGTGAGATATAAATTCATAGTTGGGACAAATAATCACATTGACGAGATAAAGTCACATTGTGAGATTATGTATAACGTCACATGTGCTAGAAATAGACATAATTTCAAGATAAAAAAAAATCATATTTTGAGATAAATTCAGTTTTGAGAAATAGTCATAATTATGAGATATAAAGGCCAATTCACACCGCACAGACAAACACCATCACACAAGTTGGCCATAGGATTTAGTATTTTGTGGAAAATAACTGTTATGTTCACACTGCCCCAACAGACACCAACAAACACAGATTGAACATGTTCAGTCGGGTGAAAAAAAAACTCCAAGCGACCATCGCCGACAGGGTTACGCTCTTTATCTGTGTAATGTGAACTGGCCTTAAAGTTCACAGTAAATAAACACAATTAAGAGAAAATATCACATTGTGAGATATAAATTCATAGCTGTGACATATAATCACATTATGAGATACATGTGCAAGAAACTGTCATATAATTGCGATAAAAAGTCACATTGTGATATAAATTCAGTTTTGAGAAATAGTCATAATTATGAGATAAAAAATCAGATTGTGAGATAAGTCACATTTATGAGAACTTAAGTCACAATTACAAGATATAAAGTCACATTTACAAGAAATAAAGTCGCAATTTTTGTAATCTGAGGTGAAAACATGCATCCTTAGATATTGTTATTATTATTAATATTATTAAAACTGTTTTGCAATGCTCATTATTGTCCAGAAACCCTTTGAGCCTTATTTTGACACAAAGTGCTAAAATTAATTGACATGTCAGAACAATGTAACTCAATGGACAAAGTGCTTTGTCTTATTAAGCTTAAGAGGCTTTAATAAAGCAAAACACCCCATTGAACTGATACATGAGCCGCTTTATTGTAGGTATCAGTTCAATGGGGTGTTTTGCTGTAAAAACAACTATATTTCTGTGAAGGATTAATGCTCTTATGTTTCTGATAGGGATTTTGGGTTAAAAGCACCTTGATTGGGCTAATTCTGTCATTCCAATTCCCTTGTGCTGGAAGAATTATAGTTGCTAGTGATTTTATAAAAGCTAAACAGTCTGTCTAGATTGCGCATTGAATAATTTATACAGATAAACAGATTACCATTGCTTTTTAGAATGTCATAATGATGGAAATTTGACCTTGAGAAAAGAATCTGAAATGCATGTATGAGAAATGTCTCAAATGTGTTGCTCTACCGTACAGTACTATAATCGGATAATGCTAAAATGTGTTGCTTACATAATTTATGTATATAGAACATGGAAAGAATAATTACACCTCTGTACATCCTTAGGGAAAATGGGTTATTTTTGATGTAAAGAAATGTGTGACTTTAAATCATTGCATTTGGCAAGTCCAGGAATTAACTAAAGTTTTAGAATACTCCCAGGATGTTTTTAATACCTAAAGGCATGAAGTACAATACTGTGGTTTTACACCGTCACACATCTATCAATCATTAGTCTAAACCATGTAAATTTCCTCTTTTTATTCCGTTAACAGGTACTTAATCCAAAGCATTGGTTTCCAGCCACAGTAAAGCATGTCCCAGTTCAAGTTTGCCAAGTACTTTAAAGACACGAGCCAGAATAAAGGTTTTTCTTTCTAATGAAGTGGATTATGGGAAATTGATCACCCTCGAGGGTGCCATTGATACGTCTTTGAAATCTCCTACCGCAAGCCCGTCCATCAGGTTCCCTCCCCAGCTGAATGTTTTGACTCTACAGTTCATTTTCTCTGCCGTACCTTCCTGACAAACACTTTCTACAATGTTCACAGTGTCTGTCATGCTGGATAACTCACAGGAGGGGATTTGGTCTAGGGTTTAATGAGTGTAATCCAGTGTTAAACAAGGCCAAAGTTTGAAGGCTGGAATGTGGTCCACTCAGGAATGTTATATCTCAAGAATGGAGGCGAATTGTCCGAGGTTTTAAAGTAAGACACGGCTCACGTGTGGCGGCCTTTAACCATTTGCTGGGTTTGTAATCGCCTACTCTTCTTGTTCCTCACAGGTGGCATCGTGTAGGCATCAGTGTTGAGAAGAAGACTGTGACCATCGTTGTCGACTGTAAGAAGAAGCTAACCAAGCCCTTGGGCAGGAGTGACCGTGCCAGTATTGACACCAATGGTATTACTGTTTTTGGCAGCAGGATCCTGGATGAGGATTCTTTTGAGGTAAAGCTGTTTTCAGTGCACGGATATCACTCTGAAGGCCTGACTGTGTGAGCTGCTTGATCAAGAATAATTGTACATCTGTTCATTTGAGAAAAGGAGAGTGAACCAGAGTTGGATTTATAGTCTAGCTCTGGGGGTTCAGCCCATTTAATGACAAATAAAACTAGCATGGGGTAGAAATAAATGGGCCTGTAAATAAAAAAAGGTTGTTCCGAAAAGATTTGGATTGAGAGTAAAGTCTGGCCTTTCCTTTTGTCCATCTTGTGGATTGCAAAGCCTTGTATCCGACATGCGTGTACACTTCACATCTGAACAGCTCAGTTTTAAGCAGGAATATATATACATTTTGCTATATTCATTCATACTAAATGTTCAGTTATACTATTTGGCCTGTTACATTTTTCCTCAACGTGTTTCATTTTAAAGGGTTAGTTCACCCAAAAATGAAAATTCTGTCAGTATTTACTCACCCTCATGTTGTTCCAAACCTCTATGTGTTTATTTGTTCTGCTGAACACAAAGGAATATATTTGGAAGAATGTATTAATCAAACAGATCTCATTCCCCATTGACTACCATAGTATGTATTTTTTCCTACTATGGTAGTCAATGGGGAATGAGATCTGTTTGATTAAAACATTCCTCCAAATATCTTCCTTTGTGTTCAGCAGAACAAATAAACACATAGAGGTTTGGAATAACATGAGGGTGAGTAAATACTGACAGAGTTTTCATTTTTGGGTGAACTAACCCTTTAAGCCCCTTTCACTCAGAGATTCCGGAAAATACATGGATAACGTGACCCTGCATTTGTCCCGGGATTGTTTGATTTCGGTTCATTCACACTGCCAGTGATTTGCCAGGATCTGTGAGTGCGTACACACACAACCCGGAAAGATCCCGGAAAGACACATGACGTCAGGATTTAGACGTGTAACGTACTCGTCGAAAACATGTACATGTACATACACAAAGCTGGTGAACTCAGGTTCAGCGCGGAGCTCCTGGTCTCTGCTTCATTCCACTTTGCAGACTTTTGTTCGTCCTTTCTTTGTTGATGACAAACTCAAACTTTCTTCCAAGAGCAACAGAGTCGCGCGATGGCACGAGCGTCATCACTATGATGACACACCCCCTTACGGCATTGGTCCTGGCTTTTGTGCACACTGCGCGCGTTGCGGGACTGATCCCAGCAATGTTACAAGGTCCCCAACTAGGTCGTGTTTGCGTTCACACAGAAGGCGTTCTGGCAATTTCCCACCAATTTCCCGGGATCAATGCGCTATGTGAAAGGGGCTTTAGATGAATGGCAACGCTTTGCAATTTTTGGGGTTTCTGAGGGTTAAACAACTGCCTACTTGTATAGTTAAAGGAGTAGTTCACTTTTGAAAAAACTTTTGCTTATAATTTACTCACCCCCATGTCATCCAAGATGTCCATGTCTTTCTTTCCTCAGTCGAAAATAATTAAAGGTTTTTGATGAAAACATTCCAGGATTTTTCTCCTTATAATGGACTTCCATGGGAACCAGGTCCAACCGAGGTCCAAACGACAGTTAATAACAGTTTCAGATGCAGCTTCAAATGTCTTTAAACGACACCAGACGATGAATAAGGGTCTTATCATGCGAAACGATCGGTTATTTCTAAGCTTATTCCAAAAATGTAACTTTTCTAAGGACAAATGCTAGCCTTATAATATATTGTGAGGCGCGTTTGCAACGTCACGTAATACGTAATTACGTTCAAAAGGTCACGGGCGACGTAGCCGGAAGTACAGAAACAAAAACGTCCGACATCATTGTTTTACCTTTTAATTCCTTTTTGTAAACGGCGTTTGAGTTAGTTTTCACGTTCAACCTATGCGTTCAACTTGTAAACACTCTGACTCTGTACTTCTGGCTACGTCGCCCGTGACCTTTTGAACGTAATTACGTATTACGTGACGTTGCAAACGCGCCTCACAGAATGGAGAAAGGCTAGCATTTGTCCTTAGAAAAGTTACATTTTTGGAATAAGTTTTGAAACAACCGATCGTTTCGCATGATAAGACCCTTGTTCATCGTCTGGTGTCGTTTAAAGACATTTGAAGCTGCATCTGAAACTGTTATAACTGTCGTTTGGACCTCGGTTGGACCTGGTTCCCATGGAAGTCCATTATAAGGAGAAAAATCCTGGAATGTTTTCATCAAAAACCTTAATTTCTTTTCGACTGAGAAAAGAAAGACATGGACATCTTGGATGACATGGGGGTGAGTAAATTATCAGCAAAAGTTTTTTCAAAAGTGAACTAATCCTTTAAGTACTATAAAAGTAGAGTTTCTTTGCAAATGTCACAAAAGTGAAGTTTGTGGCATTTTATGTAGGCCTATGCTTCGTGTTTTCCACAAGCTAACAGCTATTTGCATTAGCATTCCATTCATTGTTTTGTCTTGTTGTATAAAGATCAGTGTTTACATCTCTATGGCAACCTGTCAGTATATTTTTATGTAACTTTGTGGTAACATTATTCTCTTTAGCCTAATGCGGTCTTAAGCAATTAACCTTAAGTTGTTTTAAAGACCATGCGATGTAAATGTAGCCCTTTTTTCTCCACATATTAAAGACGCAATACTCAGATTTGACCAGTCGAGATCATATTTGTCCCTCTGGACACTGGCGTACTCAGGATAACACAGACAAGCCTTGTGTCGCTGTTTACCTTTATGCGGTCGGGTTTTCCCCTCGCTTCCTGTTATGAAGGCTTCTTTCACCTTGTAATTAAAGCTACTCAAAGCCGGAGCCTCTTCATGCTCGGATTGCTCACTACCTCAGCTGAGGCCTTCATTCAACATGGCTAATGTTGTGAATTTCCTTAGTATCTGGACCATCGTACAATTATTTTAAAGATGAACCCGATTATATTTGTTGGTGGTTTAAGGTATTAAAAAAATTTTTTTGGTAAATGACTTCACATATTAACACCTCACATATAAACTTTGACTGTTTTTGGTGCAAACTTGTGTCTTTGAGGTATATTGTTTCACAGTGTTATGTGTGCGTTTGTTCTCTTAAGCGCTCTTAAAAGTCACAATTGAGGCAGTGTGGAATGCAGGGTCAGAATGAGTTAAAGCTGTAAATAATGACGTACAATGGCCCGATTGACAGGTGATATTAAAATGCATTGCTTCTTGTTAAGAAGGAGGGCTAGCTTAGTCCTTGGATGTGTGTTTGCCTGAGTAACTGAGAACTTGTGTAGTGGGGGATGGGAATTATTTCTTATTAGCCTATATTGTTGTTAAAATAGTTTTAATGCAAGTATTTTTAAACTGGGACTTCTTGTTGGTGAAGTGACATTATATAGTCGGTTTTGCCCTTTTGTGAATCGTGTTTATGTTACCTTAATTCCTGGTGCATTTTTTTCAAAAACCTATTTTATCAGAAGGTGATGCTGACTTGTCAGGTGTTCCACAAATATATGATGGCTGTGATCATTTGTATACTGTATGTCAACCTTTAACACTAAGTATTTTATGTTTATGGATCCATATTTCATTCCATATATTCAGATATATAATGTTTTACCTCTTGCAGCATATTTAGAAAAGCTATGAGAGGTATGCCCAGTATTTAGATTTGGTGTGTCATCTGGGATTTGTATAGTTGGAAACACAGGGTTCTCTGTGTGAGGGCATGAACACCATGACTGTTCCCACTGTATGGCTACCTCTGAAGTGTATTTTGGGAAATATGGAGGAAATACCTGGTCAGACCCGTAGGAACGACATCCCTTACTAGCCCTGCATGAATCGACACTTTGTAGGGCCTCAAGCCTTTGATTTTTGATTCTATGTGAGTGTACAATATACTTGCAGGAGAGTGGTCCAAAAACGGATATATGTTGACATATAGAGTTTATTTTTTTACTGCACTTAGTTCCACATGTCTAATTTATGTCTCGTAATGAATAAGAACTTTTCTTTAAACAACCAAGTTCATTATTGTTAAAGGAGTAGTTCACTTTTAAAAAAAAACTTTTGCAGATAATTTACTCAGTCTTTCTTTCTTCAGTCGAAAAGAAATTAAGGTTTTTGATGAAAACAGTCCAAGTTTTTTTCTCCATATAATGGACTTCATTGGGAACCAAACGGTTCATGGTCCAAAAAATAGTTTCATTGGAAAATGCAAACTGTTTAAAGGGCTTTAAATGATTCCAGACGATTAATAAGGGTCTTATCAAGCGAAACGATCGCTCATTTGACAAAAAATAACAAAATTTAGGTTCCCTATCGTAGTCACTTCGAGTTACGTCAGAAGTGACGGAGATTGGGGGTTTCGCATAGAAAGCCAATCCTCTTCGAGTATTAAAACACGAGCCAATGGCATGCAATGCCTTGGGGCTGCGGAAATTTGCATAGCGTACTCCGCCCTACTCCGTGAGTATAAAAGGAGGAAGTGAACGCAACCGCAGTATGTTTTCGCTTCGGAGCCAAGAGAACCTCTTCACTCCTGAAAGCACTGTTCAAGACTCTTCGAGACGAGCGTCCTCTTCAGTGTTGGTGTGACGGCGGTACCCAGCGAGATTCTGCATCGCCTGCGATCTGAGCAGTGGTCTGCCAGACTTTGCGCTTCTCCCTGGTCGCTTCAGCGCTGAAAGAGTGAATTTCCTCCTCTCATTGAAAGAGCTGCACGCGCACGTCTTTTTAAAGACGGTTCGCCCGTGCTCTTCTGGGGTGATTGATTTCTGTCGTCATCTGATGGTCACGATCGCTGCTTTGTATGCCTGGGCATTTCAGCATGCAGCAGCAGCGTTCGTGGATGACTCATTTTCCTTCTGTGGGAACATGACCATCTCTACACTGAGGTCGAGACTCAATGATCTCACTTGAGTGAGAGTCCCGGTCCCCCCGCTCGATCGGTTTCCTCCATAGGGGGCCCGTCGACCCGGGGACCTGGTGATTTACGGTGATGGTGTGGGATAAGCCCCGACGATTCCTCGGGCCACACCTCCCGCCTCAGTGCGAGAGCCAGCGAGCGTTAGTTCGATTCAGTCGGTTGCTTCTTCGGTGGCAC